AAAAAAAAAATAAATAAATAAATAACAGTAATAAAACATCCTTATGCAGTTTCTGTCGGCCAACATTACCTGTTGCCAGTGGTTGGTTTGGCCGATACTGGAGGATTATTCAGTACTTTTTCGTGGCTTTCAAATCTCTTCTGAATGTCGGCCACGGCTTTTGAAGGGTATCGACTTCCGTCCGAAAGTTTTTTTTTCAGACCGACCGTAGCTGTTAACGCCAACTTGCTGGCSACGCCGACAACCGGTTTCGGAAACAGAATGGTTGGTTTTTCGGCTGTAGGTTGGTTTTTGGCATCGAGCACGTCCGGCGAAGGGTTTAACGAACGGTTTTCATCGCAGTTCTTGACCAAGTCCGGTTGATCGTATGAGGCGGCCCGCGACTTGACGTCCACGGGGCGCATGTACCCAGAACTGGTGGTCGAACTGGCCGGCGATGACTTATAGTTTTCGTAAGTCTGCTGTGGCGGCAGATCGACCGATGGTTTGCTGGTGTAAATGGACTCATGATTGCGTTCCTGTATCGCCGACACGATCTCGCCCAGCAACGAACTCTCCAACGACTTGGGCACTTTGTACGTACCAGAATCGTCCTCGTCTGCAGCGTCCACCGCGGGGCGCTCGTCGATCACCGAATAGATGTTCTCCGAAAGCGGCTCCTCGCAACTGACATTTGCGGGCCGGTCGCCGTCGCGTCCGCATTCGGTCACAAACGGTCGTGGTATCTGGTAGTCGACTTGGGACTGGACMGGGTGCGCGGCCGGCGGTCGGGGTGGCGGTGGCGAGGTGGGCCTTGAACAGGAGACCGCAGACGCCGCCGCGGTGGCAACGCTGGTGGGCCGTTTACACTTCATCGACCCGAAGTTCGGTACGCGCGGCCTGTGATTGGCGTTGTTGGCGACGCGCAGGCTCTGCGCCCTGAGCACGACAGCTTTGTGTTGGTCCGCCTCCAGTGGCAACGGTTCCGACGGTACGTTTATCTCCTTCTGGAGGATCGGGTGTGATATTTCCAGTTTTTTCAACTCYTCTTTGTCGAACTTGGTGTTGGCGCGAGGGATTGTGGGTTTTTTCTCTTCGGTCTTTTGATTTTTCATAAACGACGTTATCCTGCGCAGTGTCGGGTAACCTCCCGCTCCACCGCCACCACTGTTTTTGTTGTCCACCGCCATCAACGACGCAGGTCTGGCCGCGGTCGGTACGGGTGGCGCCGGTTTCGACGGTATCGACACCAACTTGTGTACGGTAGACGATGTAGTCGCGTCCAACACCGGTTGACTAATCTGCAGCCTACCGCTTCTTTCGTTCATTGGGGCAGGCGCAGAAGGCGCCGGCCTGATTGGTGTCCGAGATACAACCGGCTGTTCGTTGATCACTATTGGTTTGATGCTAAATCCTTTGTAATTACCTACAAGATCTGAATGAAGTGTCGGTGGTTTTTGATTGTCTATCAATAGTGTACTTGAAGGTGATACAGTACCATTAGGTTTGTTACCGACTTCTGAATCGTTGCTGTTAAAAGAAAATTTGAAAATATTAAACAMCAACAAGTGAAAGACCAATAGCAAAAGTTCAGTCGGATAAAATGTACGTGAGGCAAGTTTAATGTCTCATAGTCCAAGTAATGTAAATGTAMATACATTATAATATTTTATAATATAAAGCCATACACAAGCAATAACTTTAAATAATYGGTTTGAAACACAACAAAAAGCAACAAATAAAACAATACAAATTTAATTAGTGTTAGCTGTTAGGAAAAGCAAAATTCAAAACAAAAATACATACCCAAGGCATGTGCATCCTAAGTGCATTATATGTTATGCAAGAATTAATTTACTCTGTTGTAATACAATTTTAAATAAAATAAATGTCCCTAAATATAATTTATAATATTTAAATATTAATTACTAATAAAATATTTAACAGAAATAAATAAAATTGAAATTAAAGTATTAACATTTACATATTTTTTACATAAAAATGAGAAATTAATTAATAATTACTAATGACATGTTGGCAYATAAGGTTTAAATTTTAAAATATTATTTTTATACATYATAAGCCATGATATATATAAAAATGTGTAAAACAAAAATTATTATATTCAATGCAGTTTATATTTTAATCGTTTAAATTAAAAGAAAAACATGCAAAGGCATAAAAATTGTGACCCTAGATACATTATTATTGAAAATAAAGGTTGTGGATCACTAGTTGTGTCAAATTATCAGGTGGTTGAATTCCCAAGACTTAAGTGTTADTATAAATATATAATCTCAAATTCATAGTAGTCTTAAACTATATGAATTATAATTAATTGTAAAAGAAAAATTATTTTGAATTTCCCCATACACCATCTTGCAAATAACTATTCACTTGAGGATTAGTTGTAGACAAGAGATTTGTAATAATAATATCACTTTTACTCAGACGAGATTTCACAGCATCAATATAATTTGGTGGTGCTACAGAACATGCATTGTTGATATAAGCATTTTCTAATATTGGCTTAGATGTATTATTATAAAAACTACTGGTCTTAGATGGTTCTAAGTAAATTTCATTGTTGTATTGTGTAACTAAAGATGACACAGTGTTTATACTAGGCAGCGGTCTAGTTGTTGTAGTAGTGCAAGCATTACTATTACCATCACCATCATCAATGACCAAATGTTGCAAACGTTCGATAAATGGCAAACATTTAGATACATACGATAGCTTTTTGCGGTTAGCTTTATTCCATTCAGATGGTGATCGATGATTCTTCGAACAATAAGCGAATAATAAAACTGCTAACAAGAGCGGAATGGCCCCAAATGTAAGAACATACATTCCAGTCATGAATCCTTTAAACGCTAAAATAAAAAAAAAATATGTGAATACAATAAATTAACGCAATAAAATAATGAACATTAAATAAGTACTGTTTGGACTGGATGCTGGTCCAGAATCTTCACTCCCACCRGGTCCAGGATTATCACAGTATGGTGGACCATAACCAGTTTTACAGTGACAATTGCCTTTGCTGTTACACACTCCATTGCCATTACAATCATTTTTACAATTATTATTTTGTTTTCTGTAATCCTCTACTGATATGCATTTTTGTTTCACACACATCTTAAAAATTCAAATCAATAAATCATTCTATGAAATTGAATAAAATGTTTATAGACAATATTATGATAGTACAAACCTTATTTTCACCACAATATGCACCATCTGGAGTTAAACCAGGATCAACATCACTTAGACCCAAGTCTATAATAGCAGTTCTACAAGGTATCATTAATCCATCATTGTTAAAGAATGTGTGCGATACAGTGGATACAGTCTCCATACCAAATTCTAAACGTTCGTTTTTGTGTTTACATTGTAACATTCCACATTTTAAATTTCTAAATTGAATAAATAAATAAAATAAAAACCAAACATCATATTAATGAATTATAATTAAAAAAAATTAACCTACTCTTGAGCACATTTTACATAAGACTTGTTCAGACGATTGTAACCACAGTTACCTTGTGGTGTACCTTTATTATTCATATTGTAACATTCTTTCGCAGATGATTCTCCAGTAGGACCCCATAATAAACGGCATTGATCTGCATGAGTACGACAAGAACCATCAAAACAAAATGCCTGTAAAAAAAAAAAAATGATAAAGTATAATGTTATACTTGAAGTTAATTAATGAACATATGAACATGTATAAAAAGCAGGTAAGTTGTGGATGTCGCTCTGATGTACAGTAGATTACAAGTGGGTTACTGTAATGGATGAAATTAAATTAGAAYCCAATGACATTTTATCATTGTATACAAAAAAACGATTCTAAGCGAAGACGGTTTATCTATCTAGGATATATTATAWATTATTAAAAAACTTTTATAAATTTCTATCTAAGATAATTTGAACATTGCCATAATTCTTACGTATTTAGTAAAAATTTGAATATTTTTCAACTGCTATTGTTACAATATGTTAGAAGCCTTGTA